GGCCACACTGCCATCGGACGTCGCCAAAGTGGGCGGGGCCATGACAACACCCACTGGGCGGGGCTTGTTCTTGCATCACCCAGTGGGCGTGGCCAACTCCAGCCAATAGAACCTCCCTGATGACACCCAGTGGGTGGAGCTTCGGATTGGCCCCTCCCAATGCAAGTGGCCACACTGCCATCGGATGCCCGTCAAAGTGGGCGGGGCTTCATCTCGACCCCACCCAAATGGGCGTGTCCACCCATCACCACGCCCCCTGCTGGGCTTGCCCCACCCAACCGCTGGCCCCACGTTCATCCTGCTGTACATGGCGTACATATTGCAGATCTGGCGGTACTGCTCGTCCGAGCCTTCCTCCCCTCCGTCCTCCTCCTCGTCCTCCTCGTTGTGGAAGGAGCCGGGGCTGTCGCTGGTGTAGGCGCTGGAGGTTCCGCCTGGGCTGGTTTGGTCCGCGGTGCCGGCCGTCAGCCCCGCTCCCTGCTGCTGCTGCTGCTGCTGCCTCCCGCTTTTGGGGGTGGAGAACTTGGCCATCTTCCTGCTGCCGTTCCCCCCGTCCTTGGAGCCGCCGTCCCACAGCCTTTTGACCACGATGGTGCACTGCACCCCGTCGGGTTCCCCCTGCTCCGTTTTCACCCTCGACACCAAAGGCAGAGCGGCGGCCGCCCCACCGCCGCCGCCGGAGGACCACGAGGAGGTCTGAGCGACGGGGCTCTGCGGCTCCGAGGACGGCGCTTCCTCCCCGTGCAGCCCCTGCGAGTCGCAGCTGGGCGAGCTGACCTTCAGGAAGAACTCGGTGCCCTTCTCCATGATCTCCTGGATCTGCAGGAAACCGGCGGTGTACATCAGCAGGAACTGATCGCCCACGTTCATGCTGAGCCTCCCGGTGTAACAGAAGCTGAGGATCTGCTGGAAGGATTGGGGTTGAACGGCGGCAGGCAGTTCCACCACCGAACTTTTGCTGCTGTTGAAAAGGTCCCGGAAATAGGAGCTGCTGGCGGCCAAAACGGCGCGGTGGGCTTTGAAAGCGTGACCCTTCACCACCACCGAGACGT